CATCCTCTTCTACAATGCCCTCTATGTCATAGCTCCCATCCATATCCGGTGGGATAATGGATCTCCTGGAAGGGAACTGTTGACTAGTGACACACGGCAGCAGCTTTGAAGCATGGAACACAAGGTATGTGTGGAGGTGTGCTGGAATCTCAATGCTGTAGGACGGTCCATCCTCTCCGACCTTGACTTCTAGAACCGGCCACAGTCCTCTATATGCAGGCAGTAATTTCTGCGAGATATTTTCTTCCGGTGCAAACTCTTTTGCCTTGACCCAGACTAAGTCGCCTACTTGAAACTGTGATGGGCGACGGTGCTTGTTAGCCTGCTCTACCATTCTGTGCTGGGCGTTCCGAAGGTTCTCAACTACAGTGGCTAATTCCTTTTCGTGCTGTATCGCAAACTCCCTGGTACCGGGTGGTAATCAGTGAATCTGATCCCGGTTCAGTCCTTCGAACGGTCTGCGCGGTCTGGAGGACTTGTGCAACTCATTGGGGGTGCGGCAGGTGGATAGATGCACGCTGTTGTTGTATGCACTAGCTACCTTAGGCAACATCTCATCCCAGTTAATCTGATCTGGTCTAATGTACATGCGCAGAACTTGCTGTAGGATCTTGTTCATCTGTTCTGTCTGACCGTTAGTCTCTGGGTGACGGCCGGACGACATGAACAACTTAGAACCGTAGACTCTCATTAGTTCTTGCCAGTTCTGGCTGGTGAAACGACTATCTCTATCACTAACTATTGACAATGGGATTCCATTCTCACTAACCCAAAAGTCAAAGAACTTTTGTATTACTAAATATATCCGTGCCTCAGCAGGCAAGGGAACAAAAACTGCATACTTACTAAAACGGTCGACTATGACCATGACTTGGCTCTTACCATGTCTGCTCTTGACTTGCGTGTCATGAAGTCTATGGATACCGAGTCTCCCGGCTGATCCGGAATAGGCAAGGGTCTGAGAAGACCTAGGGGCGCGCGTGTAGTAGATTTATTCCTCTGRCACACTTYACAACTGCGGACATWCTCTATGYMGYCGTTCTTCATCCCTGGCCATGTGTACGCACGCATCAGATTGGCTAACGTCTTTTGCCAACCGAAGTGTCCCTCARTATCGTGACATTCCCCTAGAATYAKACTACGAATCTCTTCGCTGTTGGGAACGCACAGGCGGTCAAACACATTAGTCTTCTCAAACAGCAACCCGTCTGTAGTGCGTTAATCTGGTTCGGTCTCTGGGGTCTCTCTAACTCTCTTTAGGAGGTCGTTATAGATAGGGTCCTGCGTATACGCTTGTTTCACTTTCTCCTGCAGGTCTCTCCCTATATCCAGATAATGTACTACGGCTCCAAAGTAGTCTGATCTCCTACTTAGAGCATCCGCCACTACATTGTMCTGCGTATACGCTTGTTTCACTTTCTCCTGCAGGTCTCTCCCTATATCCAGATAATGTTCTACGGCTCCAAAGTAGTCTGATCTCCTACTTAGAGCATCCGCCACTACATTGTACTTGCCCTTCACTGGCTTGAGCTCAAAGTCGAATTGGTCTATCTCTGCGGCCCACCTAGTCAACTTAGGTGTCATCTTGGCCTGGGTCTTTAGCCAACAAAGTGTCTCATGGTTAAAATACACTCTGAAGTGCCTCCCAAGCAGATAGTGCTTCCAATGGTCTAAAGCCTGCCTGAGAGCGTAGAGTTCTCTCTCGTACGTGGAGGTAGCGACCTTCTCACACGGCATCCTCGCTGACATGAACTCTACGGGTCTATAGCCATTGCCGTCGTCTTGCTGCAACACGGCRCCTATCCCATACTGACTTGCGTCCGTGGTAACGAGAAATGGCAAGGACGGATCCGCTACTTTGAGGACAGGATATTCTATTAATGCGCGCTTTAACTTTTTTAGCGCAGACGTACAGTCTTTATCCCATTGCCAGATTGTCTCTTTCTTCAACAACCTGCGCAAGGGAGCGGCGATAGTGGAGAAGTCCCTCAGGAACTTCCTGTAGTAGTTAGCTAGGCCTAGGAACAACCGCAACTCTGTCAATGTGCGGGGCGTCGGGCAATCTCTAATCGCCGCTATCTTGCTTTCCTCTGGCCATCTGCGTCCAACACGTGGCCCAAGTACAAGACTTGCGTCTTGGCCCACTCGCACTTCTTCGCATTGATCTTGAAGTTAGCCTCTCTAAGCTTCTCCAAGACCTGCCTCGGATGACCCTGGTGCTCCTGTAGGGTCTTACTAAAGACTAGGATATCATCTAAGTAGACTACCACAAATTTATCTAACCACGGTCTAAACAGGTCGTTCATGCAACGCTGAAAAGTAGTTGGCACGTTGGTCAGTCCAAAGCACATCACTATAAACTCATAATGACCATATCTAGTCCGGAATGCAGTCTTGTACTGATCATCAGGATGGACTTCTATCTGATGGTATCCGGACTTTAAGTCTATCTTAGAGAAATACTTAAAACCCTGCACCCGATCTAAAAGATCGGTTATACTGGTCAGCGGCTCACCATTTTTCACGGTGATCGCATTCAAACCCCTATAGTCTATACTCATTCTCAACTCTCCTTCCTTCTTGGGGACAAACAAAACGCGTGCTCCAAAAGGAGACCAACTGGGCCTGATCCAACCTTTCTCAAGGAGTTCGTCTAACTGCTTGCGAAGCTCCTCTAACTCTCTAGGGGACATCCTGTAGACTGCACCCTTAGAAGTTCTGCTATCAAGCTCTATCTCTATCCTATGCTGGATGGGTCGCGACACTACTCCTGTCGGCGACTCAGTCAAGTCTTTGAATTCTTCCAGCAGCTTGGCAATTGTTGGATCTGTGGAACTATCCTTTTCCTGGGCCTCAGTGACAGGTCTAACATAAACTACAAAGACCTGGTCTTCTAACTGCTCCTTCTTTACTCATTGCGCGGACGCGGGAGCACTGAGACAACAATATGCCAAGCTGTTTATGTGGGTTGGGAGTGTCCTGTTCGCGCGCGCTCACTTCTCCACATGGCCTGGAAGTAGGGGCAGTTGCGACCCCTACTGGGGGCTGCCTTTTGCCTGCTGAGCAGCCAACGGGCCTGTCTATACTCTGGACAAAATTTAATTACGTGCGTCGGGTCACCACAGAATACGCACTGACCCAGGTTCACGCGTTCCTGCCATAAGCGTTGGTCCAAGCCCAGATCTGCCCAGGGCCTACACTGCGGCAAGCCTGGGTGCCATCCTCCTTAAGGTGCCCTTCCACCTCCTCGTTGTGGGGACCGGTTACCCTGGCGATTTAAYTGGGGACCTTGACCCCTACCTCCCGCTTGGCGGTTTCCCTGTCCGCCAACCCCCTGTGCGCCCGGTCCTCGGCCTCCCATGGCCTGGCCCCTTTGGCCCTAGCCTCCTCCTCCTCCTTGCGGCCTCCCTCCAGCCGCGACAGCAGCGTAAGACCTCCCCTGCCCCACACTACTGCCATCATTTTCAAGGCCCCACTCAATCTGATCATATGGGACCTCTTTTGTACCACCCTCCTCTAATGTCAGGATCAAGGGATCCTTGGCCTTGACTTGGCCCGAGATGGTACGATCTTTCCACTTCTTCCCCTTCTCCAGGTCCTTATGCCAGAAAGTGGTAACTGGCATAGACTTCGACTCATGCAGGACGACTTCTCTACTCAATACATCGTAAGTCATGTCGGCCTGCTGAGATTTGTCAAAGAAATGCCCGCGTAGGGCCTCTGGAATGGCATGATAAAACAACTGGACCAGCTGGGGCTCAGTGACCCCGTGGTCCGGGACGGCTACCAAGTCGTCCATGGTACCCTTGAGTGCCTTGGCACTCCTCCACTGCCGGGAGTGGATCGTTTGGAGCTTATCAGAGGCTCTAATGCCTCGCGTTGGGTCAACGAACCGCTCCTTGAGGAGCTTGAGGAATTGGGAAAGAGGAGTGACTTTGGAATATGCAACCAGGTTGTTTTCACAACCG